GGTCTGCGCGCTGATAGCCCTAGAGATATACTCGTATACATAGAAATGATAGTCACATAACGAGAATGAGAGAGAGAGAGAGAGAGAGATGGGGGGGGGGTGGAGGCAAACGCGAGCAAACAGACGGGCGGAGAGAGAATGGATCAATACTCTCGAGAGAGCCTCCCTCTCTCTCTCTTTCTTTCTTATATACTTTGCTTTGCGCGCGCTCTCTCTTTTCAACGCTGATGCAGACCGCCACGATCCTTTTAGATCGGACAACTGCGTCGTAGGCTACCCTCCTCTGCTTCTCCTGTAGGCTCATCCTGTTCCTAAATGTTACTCCCTCACCCCTCTTATGTATGTAGTTCGATCGACCATACGTATTGTACACCCAATATCGGATATGGTGCATAAATATGTTATATACCACGCGTTTCGAATCCCGATGCCAAGACTGTGTACAAGTATAACGTATATGTACATATAAATTGTGGAATTAGCGAAAACAGAGTCACGACTAAAACCATGTAATATACATCCTACAACCGGACATGCCCTGAGAGTACGAGAGAGCGAGAATGAGAGAGAGTGTTTGAAAAATCCGCGCGAGATTACAATGTACGTGGGAGGGCAGGATGGTGGCGAAATATGGGCAAAACTAGTATAAAATATACAGAGTCGGAGAGTTACATATGCATATAATATATGAATATATATATTGTATGAGACACGCACACACGTAAAAAGGCTGTTGTCGTTGTCGTTGTTGTTGTTGTTGTGAGAGTAATTGTTGTCGGGGGAGAGTGACGGGCACGTGTCCTGGTTGTAGGATCGGTCCTGGCGAAACGGGAGGAGGCTTCGCCCCGCGAGCTGATGCTGATGCACCAACAACACCGACAGCACCACTCGTCGACCGGGCCCAAGGGCATCCCTTCCGTCACCGGCAACAACAACAATAACAATAGCAGCGCCGTCGAGAGCTTAGCCAGGCTGTACTCGGCGCTGCGCCACGAGGAGTTGCGCCCGCTGTGCCGTTACTGCGGCCGGAGCTACTCGTCGCCGAGCAATCTACGCCAGCACATAAAAAACGTCCACAACTCGAATTGCTCGCCACCGGAGACTTGGCCCCAGTGCACCGTTTGCGGCAAACGCTGCAAGACCAAGCACTACCTCATCAACCACCAGCTACAGGCCCACGGCATACACCAGCGACCGACCTCCCTGCCCTCCTCCTCGTCGTCGTCGTCGTCTACCTCTACCATGTCCACGAGCCAACACTACCACCACCACCACCAACACCAACTACCACCACCACCACCACCACCACCACCACAACAACAACAACACTGACCCCCGCGTCGCGCCGCCCCTGCCTCGTGCAGCTAGGCTTTTTATCGCACGATATTATATAATATATACGCCCAACAACCCGACAGCTGATGCTGCATCAGGACGTTATTTTCTTTTCTAATTTTCTTTTTTTTTCTCTCTCTCTCTCTCTCCCGCCCACTCCCCCAACCACCACATTTCGCAATACGACAGCACGATACGCTTTCAATGATTCAGCGGCAAGCCAATTGTTTATCATTACTGCAATCACCATTAATTTTGTTGTTGCTATTGCTATTTTTCTTTTCTTGTGAAAATGTATGCACTTATTATTGATACACCGATAAAAGAAAGTAAGAAAAAAACTTGACGCGCAGCCAACATCAGCAATAAATGAAAAAGAAAAAAAGAAAGGGTCACTTACTATCTCGCGTTAACGTAATCGAAAAAAAAAAACCGGTGGAGCGATGGAAAGGAAAAAAAAAAAAAAAAAAAGTATGAATTGCAATAGAAATAAAATAACATGTAAATACGGTGCTGGCTGGTGATGTAACGTTGGTGTGGTGGTGGTTGCAGATCACGGGCTCGATGAGGTTGCAGAGGACGCGACTTCTTACCACCACCACCACAGCCATCACCAGCAACAGCAGCAGAGACACCAGCGACATCGCCATCATCAGCATCATCAAGAGGTGGCAGTCTCCAAGTACCATCAGCATTCTCAGCGAGCCATAGCGCACCAGCAGCAGCAACCACAGCAGCGGGGCTTCCAGTGTCCGCTGTGCACGAGGGTATTTCAGGACATCACGGGAATGCGGGCCCACCTCGATCAACACTATCCCCGGGACTCGCCCGTCTGCCCGGTCACCTCGTGCGCCAAAAACTTTTCCCACCCGAACAGCGTGCGCAACCACATGCGGCTCAAACATCCCGTCCAGTGGGACCAGATCAAAACCCTCAGGTGGACGTACGTCTAGTGCTGCTCGCGTCGCACCCTCCAGCCGCGTTTTTTCTCTCTTTCTTTTTTTTCTACGCCATAATACAACAGCACCTTGCACACGCGGCAGCATCCGGAGGCCTTCCCCCACCCCCTCCCATTGTTACCCATTGTTGCGTTAAACGCTGCGTCGAGCTTTATGTGATTCACCCGCGCCGTGGTCCAATTTTTCATTCGACCGTACACAGCTCCCTCACCGGTGATACATATTGATACCATACACGTGTACACAAGTGCAAGTTGTTTCAGATCAGCATTGTTTGTCGAGATAAACAGGAATACTTGGCTCTTTTTCGATTCCCCACTCTCTCCCGACAAATCCCCTGAATTCTACCACTGTTACATTGGCACTTTTTTTTTTTTTTTTTTTTTTTTTTTTTTTTCAACCATGATAAATATGCTTTTCAATCGCAAAAAAAGCGCACAGCTTAGCTGTACAGCCAGACGATAATACAATAGAGTCATGTACCTTACACACGCGTACGGTAAAACGACTATAGAGTAAAAATAAAAGCATAGAATATTGAAAAAAAAATTATATTTATAGTATTCATATTCATCAAACAGATGTATACACACGAAATATATATATATATATACAAATGGTATAATGTATAATAATGATATATGATGGCGGACGCGACTTTGTACAGGCGAACAAAGTTTATATATGCATATAGGTANTTTTTTTTTTTTTTTTTTTTTTTTTTTTTTTTTTTTTTTTTTTTTTTTTTTTTTTCGTTTTATCGAACGAGCTCGGGGTCTACGTAGGTATACGAAAAAGTGTCTCCTCGTCGTCGTCGCTTGACCTTGTTAATACTTATTTGTTGGGTGAATCCATGTGGGCGTGACGACATTGCGCGACGATTTTTGTTTGTTAATCGAGTTCGCGCAATCAGCGAGCTTGAGCCTCGAAAGTTACGATTCTTGCCATTTATGACTATTGTTTTGTCATTAGAAATGAGCGATGCAATGTATAATTTATCTTGCAGCGATCGCAAAAGTTGAAACAAAAAAAGGTAGTTCCTACTTTGATACACGCGAAGGGGTTTGAGGAAAATTGTTGTCCCTGCGACTCGATTGATGCAAAGGTGAAAAGATACAAGTATCAAAAATAAAAAATAAAAAAACGAGAATCTCTAATATCGAAATTGGGTGTGAGACTGAATGCGTGGGTAAAGAGTATGAGAGAAACTTACGCGCGAAACATAAATACGAGTAAACGTTTGTGTCAAGTAGTTTTCAAAAGCTAGAGTTTTTTTTTTGAAAAGTCCAAGTGCTGTATACAATATACCGACTATACGAATAAATGTAGGGTAATGCGATATATTTTTTGCGCTTGACATGTCCATATTCGAGTTACGAGCTGATATCTTCGGTTCTGTAAAACGAAAAAATGGCGGAGCACTGCATACTGTGTCACTTGCAATAAAATTTCCCTAGTGGAGTTATATCTGAACAGCAATTTTTGTATACGATCTAAAAAAAAAATAAATAAATAAAGAAATAGTATAAAGTTCCAAAAAAACACTAGGGCCGCGTGATTACCTAGCATATTATGCATATTATATATAAAAATCTATAAAGAAAAAATTACCGTAGACTAACAAGAGTAAAGTTCATGTTGGCGATAAGTATAGGCAAAATACCCAAGTAAAGCAAATATATTGTATCGTATCGAGGGGGTAGCTTTAACACGAGAACCTCGCCGTATATAGTTTCCATTGCGCTAAAACGAACAAAATGTAAATTATCATGACTACAATGACCGTATGTCTTAGTGACTCTTGCCATTATTTGACGTCGTCAAACTTCAGTATACATTATATACATGGCTCGCGTCGCATCATTATTGTCATTGCAATGATAATTATGTAGCTGTGTAGCTTTTAAGAGCAAAAGAGTACGCTGACATTGAAAATCTGCTCTTGTTCGCGAAGGCTTGTATATTTATTTATTTAGGTATATATAAATATGATATCGGAATGCAGTTTTCAGCGTCAGAGCTACCAACTATTATTATTATAATTATAACTACCACCTGGTATGGATGCAGCGATAATACCTCGATGAGCGAATGTGTACGAAGATGACGCGAAAAAAACCAGACGTGTTATAGTGATATGATTATTGAAATTAAAAACTAAAAACAAAAAATAAATCGTGCGTACACTACTATTTTAGACGAATAAAAAGAGCGTTGGCGAGTGCATATCGTATTTATTATGCAATATACGCGCGTTGATAACATACAAATATATATACACACACACACACACACACACAAACATTATACTCGAGATGTGCGACAAATTCGGAGGAAAAAAAAAAAAAAAGAAAAAAGTAAAGTTGTACTATTTCAATAAAAGCTTTGTATAATAAAAGGTATTTAGAGAAACTTTTCTGTCAACTTCATTTCGGAATCCCTGCACGTCTTCTTTCTTTCGGCGATTTGTCCTATGACTTTTCTCCCTCTGTTTACTTTCATTTTTCAAGCAACAACGACAGTATATAATTAATATGTTTCACACGAATAATCCTCGATCCCAAAGCATACCTTTGATATAATATCATATACGTATATATATATTATATACACGGGAGATGTTCCGGAAGGGGCCCGAGATTTACGGGGGGGAAATGATATAAGAACCAAAAAGAAAAACAAAAAAAATGCTTGTCTAATCCACAGGCCGGCGCAACAACCTGGACATAATGCGGGTGCGAGCGACGGATCCGCGGCCGTGCCCCAAGTGCAAAAAGATCTACAGGTCGGCGCACACGTTGCGCACCCACCTCGAGGACAAGCACACGATCTGCCCGGGCTACCGGTGCGTCCTCTGCGGGACGGTGGCCAAGTCGCGCAACTCCCTGCACTCGCACATGTCGCGCCAGCACCGGGGCATCAGCACCAAGGACCTACCGGTCCTGCCTATGCCGAGTCCCTTCAACCCCGAGCTCGCCTCCCAGCTGCTCGCCAAAGCCGGGGTCAACGTCAGCCCGGCCGAGCTCCGCGCCCGGGCCAGCCCCACGGGCCCGCGCAGGGGTGACATGCGCCTCGAGATGACCCGCCAATCCGGCGGCGCTCCCTCCGAGGCCGGCAGCTCGCTGTGCGGTGGCGACGATCCCGAGGACCTCACGCTGCCCCTCAGTCTCAGGTTGGTGTACAACCCCACGGTGTCCATTCGCCACGTGGTATGTTGTGTTGTATATATATATAATTACTGTTATTTGTTTCCTTTTGTAGGTATGGTTCGATGACGCCCAACAACAACACGGTCATAACGAAGGTGATGTCGAGCGGGGGTGGCCACGGGCAGAGCAACAACAACGGCAAGTCGGCGACTCCGGGGGGCCCGGTGGCGGCAAAGTCCCTCGACTCGCTTCAGGTAGCCCGAGAGCCCCAGACGGCCCCTTACCACCAGCACCAGCAACTCCAGCACCAACACCGGCAACAGCAGCTCCAACTGCACCAGCAGCAGCAGCAGCAGCAGCAGCAGCAGCAGCCCCACGCTTTTGGCACGGAGTCGGCGGTGGTGAGCGCCTTTCTCCAGCTGATCGCTGATAATTCGGCCGCTATGTCGGGGCTCACGCCCGACCAGGCGGCCATTTACGCGGCCAAGATGGCACAGATGGGCTCGGTCGACAAGCTGGGCAGGGCCCTGCCCGACGACTACCCGATCATCGGGAGGGACGAGGGCCGGAACAACAACGCGGACCACGACCACGACGGTAACTCGTCGGCGGGCGAGGAGGACGACTTTAGCGAGAACGAAGAGCCCGAGGTCGTCAGGGCCGAGTAGTGCTACTAACAGTACAACCACACACACACACACACAGCGAGACTCTCTGGCTCACTCTCTAAATTACTTATTAACTATTACTCATTAATTTTTATTTTTTATCATTATTCATATTATATTGTCATCATCATTATTATGATTATTATTATTATTATTATTGCGGTTGATAACTCTTACTGATGATACGGATAGTGTATACTGTAGTCTTTTATTTTCATGTATATCGAGCGTTGAGGAAGAGATTGAGCAGAGCTGCTTGCCCGACAAGAGTGTGTGTACACGCAGAGCTTCCGTCTCGGGCCGACCAAAATATTGTACGCAAACATATACACCGCGACAAGATCTCTTTGTAGTTTTTTTTTTTTTTTTTTTTTTTTTTTTTTTTTTTTTTTTTTTTTTTTTTTTTTTTT